TACACAACCAGATGTCGGGGAAACAGTAAAAGATCCTGAATCTCTGGCTGGAACAACCGAATGGATGGTACCACTCAGGAGTTGCAGAATAACAGAGACGCCGCGTGTACCCGGAGAGTAACAGAGAGGCCGCGTGTGCCCGGAGAGTAACAGAGAGGCTGCGTGTGCCCGGAGAGTAACGGAGAGCCACGTGTGTCCGGAGAGTAACAGAGAGGCCGCGTGTACCCGGAGAGTAAGGGAGAGGCCGCGTGTACCCAGAGAGTAATGGAGACGCCGTATGTACCCGGAGAGGGGGAGGTCGCGTGTGCCCGGAGAGCACCGGAGAGGCCGCATGTACCCGGAGAGTACCAGAGAGGCCGCGTGTACCCGGGGAGTACCGGAGAGGCCGCGTGTACCCGGGGAGTAATGGAGAGGCCGCGTGTACCCGGGGAGTACCAGAGAGGCCGCGTGTACCCGGGGAGTACCGGAGAGGCCGCGTGTACCCGGAGAGTAACGGAGAGCCACGTGTACCTGGGGAGTAATGGAGAGGCCGCGTGTACCCGCAGAGTAACAGAGAGCCGCGTGTACCCGGAGAGTAACGGGGAGGCCGCGTGTACCCGGAGAGTAACAGATGACACGCATATGGTCCATGTCACAACGCTGACCAGTAATGCCGTGTTCGAGGAGCACTAAGTACCACTACTGCTTCTACTGGCACTTGCACAGATACCTCTAGCAACAGAAAGTTTCACCACTTAGACTCTATATCCTAAACTAATCTGCAGCAGCTGACACGTTTAGTTTTGTGCTGAAACAGCCACCTTTGACCACAGTATGTCTTCACAGCAACAAGGACAGGGACATCGATTTCCCAGGTACCAGATCCACAGCATTTCCTTCCCCATGGATACACACCCACTGGTCGCGGAGGCGCTTCCATTTGCTGGAAATTACTTTTGTCTTGGGGAAAATATCCTGTTAAGATTTCAGGTTGTTTTGATAATCCTGAAAAGAAAATATATATATCACTGTATTATTAGTTTATTGTCGACTAAAAGTTAAATACATATTTAATTATTTATTTATTTTTAGTTTCTTGCTACAGTGTGTGCACACTTGCCAGAGAGAAAGTGAGAAATCAGCCCCGGCGGGAATAGCATGCTGCAATCCTTTCTGTTCCAGTCTCCCCTCTGGGTTTTGGGCATGCACACACACGCATCTGGTATGAGTTTCAAGCCACGAGGACTGGAACTCGAACCATGCAGTCTGCCACGTGGGATCCAGCACCTTCATCTGGAAACTACCTGCTGGCCCAAACTTAATCTTTTTAAATAGTAATATTTTCTCTTCAGTTTTTGTATCATCTATAAAAAAGAAAAAGTCCAGTTTTTCTCTGAATACTCACACTTACGAAGGAAAAAAGACAAACATTGAGCGAAATTCCAGTCCAAAGGATTCTTTTTCCTCTCCCTTTAATGGGAGGCAAATGCAGTTCCTTATTAGAATGAATATATCCACAATGTACCTGAACTATCTGCTACAAAGTATTCCAGAACAGCCCTTCTCTGCTTCTTAATCCCTCTCCCTCTTCTCTTTCACTCCAGTTCCAGTTTCTGACCACTGCAAGTTTAATAAACACCATTTTACTTGTCAAGGCCTAGCCTTGGTGGCACCTAACACCCCACTTGGGATGCGGGATCAGGTTTGATTCCCAGGTCAACCTGAACGCTCTGGGCAAGTCACGTGTGACTGTAAAACTAGCTAGTTGGGAAGCCAGGGCAAGGTGAGAGACACATGGCAAGGCTCTGTCAAGAATGCCTCTCTGTCTTTCCCTTTCTCTTCCTCTTTCTCTCTTGAAGGAAAAATGTTACCAAAAACAAAGGAGTCAAATGTAATCTTTCGATACTTTTATAATTCCCTATCACATGTTACATACTCGGCAGTTCAGTTGAAATGAAAATCAGAATGACAAAAAAGGGTAAAACTAAATTTTTGTAATTTAATTTTTGAGATTTTTATCCCAGTAGTTCCTAATATTATGCAGATCACTAACAAATAGCCATAGATCACTGCTTTAATTTCCCATGCAAACAGTCAGCTTCAACAGTTACAAGGTAAAAAAGTCTACTTTGTGAAGGCTTAGAAACTATAAAATATATTGTTACAATGGGACTAATGAAGACGGGATTGTTCTGTGACCATTCCCAATAGCACCATGACCATTCCTGATGGGGGAGGGGGTGCTTCCTCACTTGCCTTCTCTGTCTCTGTCTCTCTCTGGCAAGCACATGCTCTCTCTGACATTTTTTTTAAAGGGATTTTGGGACCCACAGATGGTATAGTGGTTATGTCGCTGGACTATCGCATGGCCTATTGCGGCTGGAGTCCAGATTCAATGGCTTGAAACTCACACTGGGCACTTGTGCACACAATGCCCAAGATCCCAGGAAAAGAAAAGATTTGTGGCATGGCCATCTCCCCAGGGGGTGCTTTCTCACTTTCCCTCTCACTGTCTCCGTCTCTCTTTCCAGTGAGCACACATGCCCTAAGGCAAAAACCACTTACAAATAAAAGGATCTGTCACACTATCTCATAAAAACAAAGTCACTAGCATCTTTTAGGCCTGACCAAAAACAAGCAATAAATAGAAATGTATCCTCTTTTCAATAGCAGTAGAAGAAAAACACAAAACAGTTAAAGTTGGTAGAAAAAAATATCAAGTTTGAGGAGGGTGGGAGGAGTCGTTTTTTCCTTTTTGAATCTAATGTTCCTTTCCTTAAAACTCACCATTAGCATAAACATATTTGTACTTTAAAAGATTTACCGGTTTGATTGGTTTGGTAAGAGGCAGAATACAGCACAGGAACTTCTGAAGGAAGAGTGAAAAGTCCATCCAGAATGCCATCGATTTCAGCCTGCAGGTTTGGCTCCACATTGGAACGAAGCTTAGACAGGAACTCTACTGCACCAAGGTCAACCAAATGCTGGACTGCTGGAGGGTACTAAAATAAGAAGACAGTCTTCAGAATAACACTAAGTATCAAAATCTCTGAATTTCATCTTACAGAGACCGAAATATTCAATTATTTTTAGTATACCAGATAATCCTTTTTATATATTTTTTAATTCATTTATTCATTCATTTTTAATTTGACCAGACACACACACACAAATAGAGAAAGAGAGACAGAGAGAGAGGGAAAGTGAGAAAGCAAGCCACCAGGTCCAGGATTCAAGCTGTTGTCGGCCACATGGGAGTATTCAGCGCTTTAATCACCACACCACCTGCTAGTCCCCCAGATAGTCCTTTTTTCTAAAGCACATCCTGTACTACTATGCCTCAAAGTAATTCTCATGAATAGGACATAATGTATAGAGCCATACATGAAACACTTGCTAACACCGTTACAAGACGAGCCAACATAACGAACACTAGGTAGGCACTGTCAGTTCCTTCTCTTTTATTAAAGGGGTCCATTTTCTCCACTAACACTCACTTTATCCTCTCTCATCCCCAACCTGTCAACAGGGTGTCAAAGTAATTAAGACTCTTTTACAAATATAGACAGACAACTTTTGGGTCCTTGGGAAAGTCATGACAGCATTTTTGCATAGAAAATCGTATGCAAAATATGCCATGACTTTCATTGCAACCTAATAATACTCGAGATAGGCATAGAAACATAAACCGAAAAAAGACGGGGAAAGCAATCTAACATATACATGCTATTTATTAATCACAGTCTGTTACATTATTTGTAGTTGTGCTCTTTCTCATAGACTCATCTAATTTTTGATATGTAAATATCAGAAAACAGGGAAAAACAAAATGACAAATATGAACCTCCAAAGACAATTCCAAAAACACCAGAACTCAGAAGTAATTCTGCTCTACTTTGGTGCGCAGTGGAGGCAAGTCAACACCACAAAGAAGAGGAAGGTAAGATGAGCGATGCACGTCCAGGTGAACCAAATCAACATCTCCAGTTGTTTTGCATTTTTTTAAAAACTCCAGTTATTTGATTTTCAATAAATGCTAAAAGAAAATTTTAAAAACACTAATTATTGTTGTTTTATTTCAAGCTGATCCTACCTTAACCAATTTGTTCAACAAGGTCAGAACCTCTTCTTTCATTGGAACAGATGGGAAATTGAACCATTCCAGCAAATGCAGAAACAGCAGCCTCTCCTGAATGAGATCGGTGTAACCGATTAAGTTGTGCTCGATCTTACAGAGGATGCTCTTGAGGGCGCGCTCCCTGATCTCGGTCAGCTGATGACCTGTCAAAAAAGTACGGCAGAAAGCAATTTTATTGCCCAACTCCAAAAAAGATATTGACCCAAAATTTATTCTAAAACGTATCTATTTATGCTGGGGACTGGGGCGACGTGACGAAGGAAATAAAGATATCTCTCTCTCTCTCTCTCTCCCTCTCTCTCTCTCTCCCTCTCTCTCTCTCTCAGAGGCAGGCCGCTGATGCACTCGGAAGTTTACACAAAGTCCCCCTGGGTCCCCGGGGGCTCCCCTGGCGGAGCTGGGACAAAAGGAGGAGCCATCGCGCGGTCATCCGGTCGCAAAAAAGTGACAAGACCATTCTCAGCACGTAGCCATGATACAAGGGCTCCTAGACCGAGGGGCAACTCAAACTGTTACCAAGTTTTCTGATGAGCCCAGTAAGGACCATCTTGTCCCTCAATCTGCTGCCGCCGGAAAATTAAACTGCCGCGCCACGGCGTCCGGCCACAATTAACGTCCCCGGAAACTGGGCCAGGGAAGCGCTGTGGAGTTCCGCAAGGCCTGTGCTAAGTACCAGACGAGTAAGAGGCATTCCGGGAGCCGTACTCGGCCCCTGCCTCGCCCGAGAAGCGTCAGTCGCTCTCTAATTAGTACTACGCAATTCCTAAACAGAAGTCTCTGTCGTGAAACAATGGAGAGGCAAACAGGTGTGGAACAGCCTTTGCCGTCATGCATGTCGGGAGTTGTAGTCCTTGCCCAGCGGTGTTCCCTGGGTGGAGATCCGGACCCGCCGCGCGCCGTCCTGCCCGGAGTTCCGGCGTCGAAGCGCGGGCTGGAGGGCGGGCCTGGGCTCCTTGGTACAAGCTCAGCCCACCTGGCCGGGCTTCTTTACTCTCCCACGGGTCTTTCGTGGCTCTGCTGTCCGAACTCTCCGCTCCCAGAAGAGAACAATTTAGAATGTAGATTGTTTTGTTTGGTCTTGTAAGGATTCTCTCGTCCTCCCAACCCGCTCCACAACTACTGAATGACTAACCCTCCAACTGTCACGTACCGACAAAGACAAGCTGCGTCCTTAGATACCTAAGTTCAGGCATAAACAAGAGAAGGAAAAAAAAAAAAGAGCGAGAGAGGAGAGTGGAGGAAATAAGTGAACAGAAGAGAAAAGAAAGGAAAAGTTACAAAGGCCAGGGCGAGGGGGATATGAGTTAGAATTTGAATATTGCCAGTTGATTTTTGCCCAGCGCACTGTGATCGATCTACAAATAGAGGAAAATTCTATTCTAAACGCTGGTAAGAGCAACAATAAAATAACTAAATTTGTAAGGTGATTTGCATTTCATAGAGCATTTTATTTCACTGACCTTCCAATTTCTAACCTAACTTAAAAATCAAAGAAATAGCAGGGTCACATTAACTTTAATAGTAAATGGCAGATTGAGGACTTGACCTTTTCTTCTTCCAGGCTTAAGACCATGCTACCTCTGCATGTCTGTAAGTGAGACAGTGGTGACTTTTGAGTTGGACTTGACAGAATGAATGGAGCTTACCAAGGGAAGAAACAGGGTAAGGTAATTCCTGCCAGAGATAACTGATATTTGCAAAGGTGAGGAGGATTCAAAGGGAGTGTGTCAAATGCAGGCAAGGTAAGAAATTCAGTGCAGCATGTCATGAGCTCTGGGAGGAGGAGAGGGGTGGAAGGAATGTTGGGTATTCTCCATTTGGCCTTGAGATAACTCCTCCAGCTCTTCCAGCCTGTGAGGCAACTAGCCTGTGCTAAAAAAGGCAGCACCATCCAGGCTCCCCACCCCTCTGGCTTCCAGTTAGATCTGACCATGGGAGAGACCAACAGAAAAGTGAAGGGGTTGGGGGAGGACACAACAACGACCAGCAGTTTGCTTAATGGCTATGTCTCTGGACTCCAATGTAGTTGAGTGTGGTTCAGGTCCTGGACCCAGTGGCTTAAACTCACACTGAATGTGTGTGCGTTTGTGTTCAAGGTTCTGAGAGCAGAATAGAGGAGAAGGGATTGTGGCGTGGCCATCCACCTGGTGGGTGATTTCTCACTTTCTGTCTCTGTCTTTCTGGTGAGCGCACGTGTCCTATAGCAAAAAGCTCTCCAAAAAATGAATAAATAAATAAATAATAAAAGTGAAGCGGGTAGTGAAAGAGAGACGTGGATATTTAACCAAGATTCCACTCATGGAGGCCTAAGCCTGCATGCCCAGGATGGTCACAGTGGCTGCATTCCACACTACAGCCTCCCCACCCCACCCCCAGCTCCTGATGGATACTGTGCCAAATGAGCTGGTGTGGAACTGTGGACGCAGGCAGCCAGCCGGAAGTTTCTGTAGTGATCCAGGCATGAAGGTTCTAGTCCTCAGCTTCAAGTGTCAAGGTCAGGTACACATAACAGTATAGAGAAACGATGGGAGTAACTTTCCAGTGGTATTTTTAAGATGAATCATCCCAGGTGAGAGGCTGTAGATGCAGTAGATACATAGGAGAAACAAAAATCATTTAAAACAAGTTGTGTTACACATAAAGTGGAAGTCAGATGATAAAGGGTCTATCTGTGTTGCATCCAAGGTCAACATTTTATTTGCTAATTTGTATTATGATGTTGGGGCATATATTGCTTTTATAGTTAGATAAAATCTTTAAGTCTTACGTATTAATTAAAAACAAGTTATCATTTTCCTATTAGACTAAGTATTGATTTGTCAATTTTTCCTTGAAGAATTAACTTTCAGTTTTTTTGGTTTTTTTTTTTTTTTTTGAGAGGTTTTTGCTATAGGGCACGTGCACTCGCCAGAAAGAGAGAGACAGAAAGCGAGAAATCCCCCCCCCCACCCACAATCCCTTTCTCCTCCATTCTCCTCTCGGGATCTTGGGCACACACGCACACGTGCCCAGCATGAGTTTAAGCCACCAAGTCCAGGACTCGAACCGCGGTCGACTACATGGGAGTCCAGCAACATAGCCATTACGCTAACTGCTGGTCCCAACTTTCAGTTTGTTAATTCTACTGTTTTAAAAAAAACCTATAGGGTCTACCATATGATTGACCACGGTTCAAATCCCAGACCCAGCGGCTTGAAACATGCCAGGCATGTGTGCATACATGCCCAAAATACCAGGAGGAAACTGGAGAGGGGACTGTGGTGTGGCCATCCCCCCAGGGAGGTGACTTCTCACCTTCTGTTTCTCTGTGTCTCTCTGGCAAGCACATACACCCTATAGCAAAAATCTAAAAAAAAAAGTATAGAGCCAGCAGGTAGCATGGAGGTTAAGGCACTGACTGATCCCACATGACTGACTACACAGTTCGAGTTCCTACCTGGCTGTTAGAAAACCACACAGGCTCATCTGCGTGTGTGCCCTAAATCCAAAAGGAAAAGTGAAGGGAAGGGGTTGTGGCATGACCGCACAGGAGGTGATCTCTCACTTTACCTCTCTCTCTCTCTCTGTCTTTCTCTCTCTGTGTCTCTCTCTCATTCTCTCTGGCAAGCACATGTACCCTATAGCAAAAAGAAAACAGATGCAGTCTAATGTTTCAACTGTACTTTTATTTATTAGCAATTACTTTCTTGGGTATGTTTTACTGTTACTTTTCTAACTCCTCAGCTAAAGGTTTTATTGCTTTATTTTCATTCTTATTTACTCATAGGCGATTTTATGACCATCAATGAGTTTTTATCTAAGAAAAGCTTTAATTGGGCCAACTCTATGATCTTCTGGTTAAGGCAGCCAGGTCTCACATGACTAAGCACCAAGTTCGAGTCCCAGATCAGCAGCTCAAGAAACACACTGAGCATGGTCATGTGTGTCCCAAACCCCAAAAGGAAGGAGAGATGGAGAGAAGGGATTGCAATGTGACTGTTCTCCATGGTGGTACTTTTGTTATCAGACGGAGAGCTGAGCTGTGGGGTATGAGTTATCCAGTTCTTTGGGTCCAGATCTCTAAGGTTAGAGAAACTTGCCCTAAAATACAGGAAGAAGTCATAAACACAAGTGAAATAGGAAACGAGAAGTTTTTAATAAAGAAGTGAAGATTTTTAACAGAAAAGAATATACAGCCCAGAAAGGCATGTCGAAGGGCAGCTGCTAGAGAAGGACCACTGCACTGCACATGGAGTTAGGTGTGAGTTTTACTGGGATGAATATTTACAAGGGAGGTCTGTCACCGTAGCTGTTCAAATTCCCTGGCTTCTAGCTACACCATGCGCTTCTCCTACAGGTAAGGAATCTGATTCCCCAATTATGCAGATCCAGCATGGGATTTGAAGGTATCAGCACCTACATAGGGACCATCTGCCTTGTTAGCGTATTGCCCCAGTGGGAATTAGGATGTTGACCAAGCATCTCGGTGAGATGACCTGTCCGCTCTTGGCACCAGGGGGGTCTAGCTGTGATCCCTGGTCACAGGACTGAAGTGTCTGAGGTCCCCCTTGCTTTAATCATGTATCATGAGTTTAGATTTATAATGTTCTAAATACTGTTCTTTCAACCACTCTGAAACTGCTATTTTAATACTATTTCCCCCAAGATCCATTTAGGAAGGTGATCTTTAATCACCAAATCTCCCTTAAATATACTTAATATATACTTTGTATCACAGCCAGAAACTGGGCCTTTTGTGATTTCAAACTTTGAGGTGAAACGTATTGAGCGATGTCTGAGACCTTGAGAAAATAGGCCATAGATGTCTATGTAGCTATGTAGAGTACTGCGTGTGCGTGTGTGTGCGTGTGTGTGTGTGCGCACGCCTTTGGAATTTCCTCCTTGTATTTACAGTGACTCTTGTTCATTTAAATGCTATCTTATCATTTAAAAATGGTTGACTTTTACACGGTAGTAAGTGCTAGTCATTCAGTTGGTGATACATACATGGATCAAGAAAGCAGTGAGGGGGGCGTGTAATCATTATATGTTGAGGTTTGCTGCCTTCCCAAACCATGCGACATGACAGAGAATTCATGAACCCAGAGGCATGGGTCACATTCTGGTATTTAATTATCTGCTAATTCTACAATCACCTCGCCATTCCATTCTGAGCCATCTCCAGACTCCAGTGAATCACTGGCAGGCATTGTCCCAGCTGCTATATCGGGTCACTTAGATTAGATGAAGATATTTGCGCTCCAAGTCACAGAAACCCATTACTCTCTAAGAACTCACGTCGCTATCTTTAATATCATCTGAGAGAAAATGAAATGCTTTCTTTTTTTCTTTACAAAATATATGCATTTTTGTTCTTCCTCACACTTTGGACAAAAATTTTAGTGTGTAGCTTATGTATTGTACGTCTGTCAGTTGTGATCATATAAACACATTTCATAGCCTTCCTTTCGGTTAAGATTTGATCAACTTAAAATATCTGGCTCTTTGCCATGTAAGTGAAAATACTGCATAGAACACAGCTTTGGACCAGACAGGCATGGATTTAAAACCACTCTGCAACCTCCTTAATTGCATAATTGTAGGCAAGCTAATTAACTTTCTTGGTTGCAAATGACAAAGCCATAACTCAAACAACTCAGCAAGAATGGATGATTTATTATCTCACTGTAGAAATGGATCTAGCCTCAGAGACTCAAAAAAAAAAATTAGTAACATTTTTTTTTGCCATCTCTTGGCTTTGCTTCTCTCAGTGTGTTCACCTCTTTATTATAGGAAAGAATTCCTCAATATATAGGGAGAGATACGATTGCAGTCCAGAGTGTCATCTTTCCACATAAAGACACTAGAAGAAAAAGAAAGCTTCTGTCTGAATGTCCAAGTGTAAAATCCACAAAAAGAACCCCTATCAAGGGACCGACAAGTGGCATTGCAGTTAAGGGTGCTCAACTTCCACATGGCCAACCATGGTTCGAGTCCTGGACCTGTGGTTTGCTTTCTCCTCTTCTCTTCTCTTCTCTTCTCTTCTCTTCTCTTCTCTCTCTCTCTCTCTCTCTCTCTCTCTCTTTTTCTCTCTCTCCCCCCACCAACTCCAGTCAAGTTAAAAATAAGTAAATAAATAAATAAAGTTAAATGAAGTAATTCTTAAAAAAAAGAAAGAAAGAAAGAAAACCCGATCAAAATCGTCACAAGGAGATATCTGTCCCTCGGTTGCTTGTTCATTCTACCAGAAAGGCAGGAGATTGTGATTATACCAAAGTTACTAGGAGTGGAACCAAAGCTTCTACTAAGAAACGTGGTGCTATTAAAAGAATCTTGGGCTAGGGTGAAATAGTGGTGTCTGTATACCCTCTAAGCCTGTTTCCATGAGTGAAAATCGGGATTAGTAATAGTACCTACTGCTAGGATTGTTTGGAGACCAATGAAGACAAGAAAGCATTTAGTCTAGAACCTCCCATAATTGGTAGTGACTACAAGTGACAGCTGTGTTTCGATACCGTCAAGCCTGAGGGTACTTCCCTTACTGGGAATCAGTGCAGTGGCAAACCATATCCAAGAACTTCCTCTGTGTTTATCTACAAGGTGGAGCTGCCAGAGACAGAGAAACAGCCTTGATGCCTCTCTTATGGAGACCGGAAGTGCGGTGCCCACAACCTTACAGCCGT